AGTCATATCCGAGTAAGAGTGACTGATGTTGGTTCTAAACTATGCACTGCCAGTGGGTTCGCCGGGTACCAGTAGGACGCAGTGGATGAAGCTATAGACTACACAGAATACAGCAATCCGGACAGCGACCGGATGTCTTGTGATGTCGCCACAACATCATCAACACATGACGAGGCGCTAATGCTAACCGTTAGGGAGCGCAACACAATGCTCTGCAAAAAATTCTTGGTAGGGAGCCACGTGAGGGTAGTAGGGGCACCCGCAGGGACGACACTTGATTGCATAGGAGCCCTCGCCAAGGCATGTCAGAATGCATCTAAGCGAACTGACCGATGAAGTTCAGAGGTTCATAAAGTAATTTCTGGAGCCGAAAGCATATCCACAGGCCTTGAGCGGCATTCAAAGGCAGTCTAGTCCTGTGAATGCCGTTCTGTAGCTCGTTTCTGTAACAATTCTCTACCAGGTATGTCGAATTGAGATATGAATTCGCCGCCCTGTTCTCTACTGCTAATGAGTAGTAGAGAATGACGTATATTCTGTATCAGTAGAGAAATAATCGGTAGAGAAGAGTTACAGAAACGAGCTACTGGACACATAAGCCTCGGGAGAGTTGAACCACAATAGCCCAACTTTACTCTGGCTACTGCAGTAGGTTGAACTCGTACCCGAGTAGACTGGATGCAGATGTGCCCAATGAGTGCCGTCATGCGGAGAGGCACCCCGCGGCTCGAAACATCTGTTCGAATTCCCACTAAACCCCATTCAACTGAAGCCTCTGTCCCTATGAACGGATCCTATAGAGGACGCACGCTTCTCGAGTCTCCCGTCAGTTCAGCTTGACGAGAACGATTGAGGGACTAGCCGATCTGGGCGGGGTTGTTGTACAACAACAACAATAACAACGAGGATATGGCTTTAAAGGCTATAGTCATCGCTTTTTAATCTAGCGCCGCAATGAACTTTTTTGTGACAAAATCTTATATCTCGCGAACGAGAACATTCAATCCTCAGCAAGAAATGCAACAGGAAAAACGAATAAGCAATAAACAAAAGAACCGAAGATATTGAAGGCTGCGGAATCAGCTAATCTACGAGTACTGTCTTTCGAAGAAACAATACAATTTTGCAGTATCCAGTATTAGGAGCGACACAGACATAAACTCTACAGTGATAAGTTATCTCTGATAACAAACAACAGAAACACATAGGTAAAGATATCGACACCAGAGAGTTTGAATTTTCGCAAAGGCACAATGGAAGCTACTACCACAAAATGAACGGTATACAAAACAATCATCCCGTACAAAACAAACCTTATTCGCCAGTCTTAATAATAGGACCCCGAACAGTAATGGAAAATATGTATTATCTCGGCCACTATGCATAGCAAGACTACCGGGAATAGCGCAAAGCCGCGGGAAAACACTCTTAAGGTAACAGAGGCAGTGCCGCTTTGATCTACCCTTTTTTCCTTACCGACTGTGCCATTAATTCAGATTTATTCTGTGGAAGATGGAAGCGGCAGAATAATAAACTATGGGAAAGTTTAAAGTCGTAATAAATAAAATTAAGCAGGTCACGCAAAGACAGTAGCAAGTCTCCGTGATCGATCAATAACTATAGCGAACTCTGGATGCTGTAAAAATAGAGGCAAGAAAACAGATTCTTCGAAGGATCATACAAATAAACCACGGTCAGAAGTACAAGAAGGTCAAAGCGTACTGCAAGTAGCCCTGAGGAGTTCCAATCAAGTAACGAACATTCTGTAGCAATAGCTGAACAATGGCCAATATTTCGAAGGAAAGAGTTCGAGCGCGGAACTAGAATGAAGTTGTCGGAAGCAGAGATTCCTTGCAGAAAAGCAACAAAGCCATCAAAACAGCAGAGTACAAAAGACTTCATAAAATAAAATAAACCCTCGTTGCTCTAAAGGAGGTCAAAAGCTTTCCAATAAATTTTGAAATAGCGTACAAGAAATCATCGTTTGAAAGAACCAAATACTAGGCAAATAATAAAATTTAAAAAATTTAATCATCCGTTCTAGCATTACATATATTTTTTTAAGTGTACCCAATTGACATGTTCTAACAGTGTATTTTATTCTAAAATCATGTCTTTTGTTTTATTTTCTTTACATATTTTTGTTTTCATCACAATGACAGCTATTGTAACACACAAATGTATAAACCACATAATAATGTGAAATCACTCCATTTTTATAAGCCCAGGCTATGTCCTTCAAGGATGTTATTTATGTGCATTGCAATGCGGCAGATTTGGGTATTGCGATTTTGGTTTGTTCAAATGTCATATAGGCAGACTAGCAACCAAGGGTGCGGTTGTGAAGTTTTGAGGTTTTTACAGACCGATATACAGTGGTGGGCGACTAAATAGGGATGCAAAATTTTAACAAGTTTTGGCTATTTTTATTTTGTCTAATTAATGTCTATTATTTTTTTATGAGAATATAGCCTACTATCTAACAAAAATCATGTAAGTCGGAATTTTAAACTTTGTACAAAAATTAAAAAGGTCGACAGATTTTCATAAAAATTTAAAATTTTTTAGTCAGACTAAATTTAGTGTGATGAAAGTACAATTTTGAGGTAGCTGGGTCTTACAGCTGATTTTTGGTATTTTTTTTTTGCTGACAGTGTTGTGCAGTTTCATCCACATAAAATAATTATCAAACATAAATACTTTAATAGACTACAATACTGCATATCAATATTTTTTCTAAAATTTCTGAGTGATACGTTGACATTTTGAGGAAAATTTGTCGTATATATTTATATATAGGGTGTTTTTGAACCAAATTCTAAGATAGGGCGACCTTGAAAAATTTTCTGAGAAAGGTGTATATAGATAATTTCTGTGAAGATCAGATTCGCGTCATCATTTAGAATGATATTTATCAAGTTCCCAGTCACTTTTGTCGAGAAAGTGAATTTTGAAGTTGCGGTTCATGTCAACTTCTGTGACCTGATACTCGTAAATTCTAAAGCTCAGCTCGTCTCTATACAGATTGGAAGCAGTGTCGGTGCCTTTTTTTACAACCTGTTAAATGCCTTAAGCCTTACAGCACTTTATGTCATTATAAGTGAAATGCCCGGAATATCTCGCAACTCTGCTTGAGGTATCCAGCGATCGCTCCCGTTCTACAATGGAATTTGGTGTCAAACGCCTCCCACTAGGCCAACTTGCCATAAATGAGAATATATTTCTATTCGGTGGCTTATATCCAGAGTATTTTCTGCTGTGTAAGCCATCAGTCAATGTAATTATAGGAAGCAGGTCCATTATTTATATAGCTTTATGTTTCCAATTCATAGCGACATGCAAAATGGTCCTTCAGAAGTATGTATAAAGGTCATATAGTGATCACAAAGCTATTGTAATAAATATTTCTAAGACCTGAATATCTTCGTCCCAAAACGAGTATAGATGTATTTCGTCGTCCCAGCTTTAGTTGAAGGGCAAGAGCCGCTATCGTACTTGTAAATGGCGCTTAAGATTTTTAGGTAGTCTACGTAGGAATATTGATGTTCAGATACATATATTCGGACCTCTTGAAACCTTACCTATATACCGATAGAAAGAGGAAATTGCCGAGAAGGAGGAGAAAATGCCGCTAAGAGCTCATGTATTAAGATTTTTTTTTTTGAATGTAGATCTCGACTCAGGTTCCGGCGTACGATATGGTATATGTATATTGTTAAGATAAAAGGCCGATGGCCTTCCAACCCACACGCCGTTTATTATCAAATAGCATAGTTAGTACTCTCTTTCCATCTCGAGAAAGCTGGTCACAGAGGAAAAGATTATGGCTAAGCTTGTCAGAACTGCAGAAAATCGAGCACTAGAACAATACTCGCGAAAGGTTTTGAGCCATATATTCAGGAGAGATTGGCGGTCGCACCATCACAGTGTGTTAAGAGATAGCTCAGTAAAACTCAGGTTCGACCCCTTGTTCGTAATGAGCCAATGGTATACATCCAGGTGTATTTCTTTTTTTTAAGAAAGCATAAAACTGTATGCCCTTGCCCTTTGTGTGACAACATCAAGACGCATGCCACAAATCGGAGTAAAAGCTCGGTATATAATAATTATTACTAAGAAAGCTTCTCATAAAAAAACATCTGTCGTTTAGAGGCGGACTAGATTTTACATCGATGGCTGAGTGGAAGATAAACCTATCTCAGAAAACTTTTCAAGAACGCCCTACTTCGGAATTTGATTGAAAAACGTTGAGCGTTGTTGAAAAGTTTTCTGAGATAGGACATTTTCGAACTGGCTGCCGAGATAGGTCGCTCCTCCCCTCAGCCATCGATATGCTTTCTTTTTGTTTGAAATCAGCAAAATGCACAGCGAAAACTTGGAGCGACGTTCGACCAAACACTTAGCATACTTTATTGTTAATAATATTACGACACCTGTCACAACTAGTGAAGCTCCTAAATATCCCTAAATATTTCATATTTTAGTCAATGCATTAGACAATAACTCCGTAGTAATTCTAGTATAACCTCAACATTAACTTACAAATTATTCAAATTTTCGTCAAACTATTTTTATTTATTTCCAGCCAAGACACCATCATTCGATAAAGATCGCGACTACATCGGCTTCGCCACATTGCCCGAACAAGTGCATAGGAAATCGGTGAAGCGTGGATTCGACTTTACGCTTATGGTAGTCGGCGAGTCGGGATTGGGCAAGTCAACGCTAATCAATAGCCTATTCTTGGGTGATCTATACAAGACTCGAATTATACCAAATGTCGAAGAGCGACTCGAGAAGACGACACGTGTTGAAAAGAAAACCATGGACATAGAAGAGAGGGGAGTACGCTTGCGATTAACCGTGGTGGATACGCCAGGTTTCGGCGATGGCATCAACTGTGAGGATAGCTGGCGTGTCTGCACCGCCTACATCGATGAGCAGGTGAGGAAATTGCCGGCGAAAATGATTAAGTTTACAGAGATTTTTGATGTTTTCTTTTTTGTTTAATTTTGCAGTTTCGTCAATACTTTACAGACGAGAGTGGCCTGAATCGACGCAACATACAGGATAACCGCGTGCATTGTTGTTTGTATTTTGTGCCACCATGGGGTCATAGGTGAGTCGCGCTATATTTACATATGCTTCTGCTTATTTCAATGCTTACTCTCTTCTTCCCCTACAGTCTGCGTCAAATGGATTTGGATCTCATACGACGACTCCACCGCAAAGTCAATATAGTGCTTGTCATCGCCAAGGCGGATTGTCTGACCAAAAATGAGGTGCGCAAGCTAAAGGAGCGCATACTGCAAGATTTGGAGGACAACAAAATACAATTATATCAATTCCCCGAATGTGATTCGGATGAAGATGATGATTTTAAGCAACAAGATCGCGATCTAAAGGCTTCAATACCATTCGCTGTCGTCGGCAGCAATACGATATTGGAGATAGCGGGCAAGAAAGTACGCGGGCGTCAATATCCTTGGGGCGTTGTAGATGTGGAAGATCCCGAACATAGCGATTTCAACAAGTTACGCACCTTCCTCATCTCCACGCACATGCAAGATCTTAAGGATACAACACAGGATGTGCATTATGAGAATTTCCGTGCACAATGCATCTCACAGATATCGCAACATGCGCTGCGCGAACGTGGCAAATTGAAGCGTGATTCAATTAGTTCGACCAATGGCTTTGATGCGGCTATTTCAGAGACAGATCGATTGCTGTTGCAGAAAGACGAAGAAATACGACGTATGCAAGATATGCTCACACAAATGCAAGAGAAGCTGAAGCAGACTCACTTGATGGAAATGAAGAAGAATGATAGTGTTATTGATGTTTAAGTGAGAGGCGAGGGTTTTGAGCTTTGAACATAAAGGCAGCTGATGAAGGAAAAGGGAAGTTCATTGCCATGGTTTGAGTGAAGCTTAAATGCAGGCATACAATTCGAGAAACGAACACCTGTATTGACATGAATAACAAATACCGAATTAAATAGTTTTTT